AAGGGAGATGGAGTCTGAGATAAGCAACAGACTTTAGGGTTTTTTTGTGTTTTATTTTGTTTTGTTTTGCTTTTTGAGACTGTATCTTATCTCCCCCAGGCTGCAAGTTCAGTAGGCCACTTCTGGCAAGCAAGTGTGGGCTGATCCACTGCTGTTGGCATGGAAGCTTTGACCTGCTCCATTTCAGACCTGGGCCGCTCAGCCCCCTCCTTAGGCTCTCTATCCACTTAGCCAGAAGGCCTGAGTTCAAATTTGACCTCAGCTACTTACTAGCCAGACAGCTAGGTGGCACAGTGGATAGACCACCAGGCCTGGAGTCAGGAGGACCTGAGTTCAAATCTGTTCTCAGTCATTAGCTGGGTGATCCTGGGCAAATCATCCTGTTTACTTTGGTTTCTTCATCTGTCAAATGAGCTGGAGAAGGAAATGGCAAACAGCTCTAGTATCTTTGCCAAGAAAACTCCAAATGAGGTCACAAAGTGTGGGATAGGACTAAAATGATTGAACAACAATAACAGCTTACTAGCTATGTGACCCTGAGCAGATCTATTATGAGCAAGTGCTATTATGATCCACATTTTTTTTAGGTAATTGGGGTTAAGTGACTTGCCCAGGGTCACACAGCTAGTAAGTGTCAAGTGTTTGGTCTGAGGCCACACTTGAACTCAGGTCCTCCTGACTTCAGGGCTGGTGCTCTATTCACTGGGCCACCTAGCTGCCCCTATGATCCCCATTTTACAGATGAGGAAACTGAGATACAGGGAAGTTAAGTGACTTGCCCACATAAGTCACAGAACTAGTATGTATCTGAGGTTGGATTTTTATTCAGGCCTTCTTGCCTCTAGGCCCAGTACGCTATTCCTTAGACTTTCTAGCTGCCTTAGTAAAGGTATAAGGTGTTTTACCCTTAAGGAGCCTACAGGGTTCTAAATAAGACACATGACCATGGATAGATTTCAGGGAGTTCATACAAAAAATTATCTTTATTTCATTATAATTGATTTCCTTTGTAATCCTGTGTGTTTTACTTTATGATTTTAAAAACATTCTTCTTAGAAGGGGTCTCTAGGCTTCAACAGACTGCCAAAGGGGTCCATGACCCAAAAAAAGGTCGAGAGTCTCTGACCTAGAGAAACTACCTTAAGAGTATCCTCATCCAAAGATTGAATGCTGGACTTGGAGGAAGAAAGACTTAAATCCCATCTTTGATACTTACTAAGTGCAGGGGATAGCACACTGGGCTTGGAGTCAGGAAACTTCATCTTCATGAGTTCAAATCTGGTCTCAGACACTCACTAGCTGCGTGACCATGGGTGAATCACTTAACTCTGCCTCAGTTCCTCATCTGTAAAATGAACTGGAAAAGGAAATGGTAAACCCCACCCCAATACCTCTGCCAAGAAAACCCCAAAATAGGGTCACAGAGAGTCAGACAAGACTGAACAACAAGCCATGTGGTCTTCGGCTCTTAAACTCTCTGGGCCTCAGTTTTCTCATTTGCACAATGGGTACACTAATGTTTGCACGGCTCACAGGGTTGCTGTGTGGCTCAAATGAGGTAATGTTTACAAATCACTTTGAGAACTTTAAAGTGAAATGTAAGAATTATTATTGTCATGCCCCAAATATGCCCCACATTTTCATCTTCTCCCAGGTGCTCTCCCTAGGGTCTCCTAAAAGAATCAAATAGACGTGATCTCTCCCTCTTCTGAATTCCCTTATCTCATTGGTTGTATCTTTCTTAGTGTATTTATCACAACCTTCATTGTGTTATGATATCTATATAAATCTCTCTTCTCCTAGATTGTAAGCTCCCTGAAGACAGGGACTGTATCTTATGAATCTATATATCCCCCACACAGTAGTTTGCTGGTAAATGTTTAACAACTGCCTTTTAGAAGGGGAAAAATGAATATATTTTTAAGTTTAATCTGCATTATTGACATTTTCTCCATCACTTTCTTAAGCCTAGACAATAATAAAGCAAATAGATCAAGCCCCGACTTGCAGTGTGGTATATGCAAAAGCTTACACTGAAAATTTAACAATTAGCTCTCTCCAGCCAGTATAAGCTGACTCAAGCATGCCTGCACCTCAAAGCAAATATAAGGCATCCTATAAATATTTCTTGAAACAATTAGAAAGCAATTCAATACAATCCATTTCCTTTTGTCTGAGCTTGTCATTTTGTATTTTGAAAGTGTATAGAATTAGGAGGTACCATCTAGTTCGGGGATTCTTATCCTGGGGCTCATGGACAGATTTCAAGGGGTCTATGAACTTAAATGGGGGAAAAATTACATCTTTATTTTCATGAATCCTGAAATTTAGCATTCCCTTTAATTATTTAAAAGCATAACTTTGAGGGGTCCATAGGCTACATCAGACCTCCAAAAGGATCCACAACTCAAAAGAGGTTAAGCACCCCTGCTCTCATCCAACACTTTTACTTTACAACCAAGTTAATGGAAGCCAAAGAGACTCTGTGATTTGCTTTAGCAGCACTAATTAGTGATAGAGCCAGCACTGGAACCCACCCAACAGGATCAAACATCCTCACCTGAAGCAGCAGGCAGCTAGATGCAAAAACCCCATTCAAGACTTCAGTCTTGAATTTACACAGCATATTAATACCAATACCCCATTTCACTCTCATGACAGAGGCTTTGCTGTGCTGAAATGTCCTCTCCCTTGCCTGTCAAAACCCTATCTCTACCTTCAAGGCCAGGCTGAAAGGTCACTTCTTTTGTGAAGCTTTATAAAAGCATTCAATAAAATACTTTAAAATTCAAGTCAATAAACATTTATTGAAGACTTACTATGTGCAAGGCAAGGTGGCTATTAGACTGTCTAGTAGTTACTAGACTACCTAGGTAGTCTAGTAGCACCTTGCCTTGCACATAGTAGGTCTAGTATCCAAAATGACTAAGAGACAGTCCCTGACCTCAAGGAATTTGGAAATGAAAGAGGGGTGGTTGATAAGCCAAATATGACATTTATATAGTATTTTAAATTGGGCGTCATTTGAGCATCATACTCAGGTAAGTATTTCCTTGTTAATTATTTTTATTCCGGACCAGTGATTTTATAGGTGTTGAGAACTTCCTTGCTCTGATCCCATGTTCAGTCATGTCCAGCTCTTCTTGACCCCATTTTGGGATTTTCTTGAAAAAGATACTGGAGTGGTTTGCCATTTCCTTCTTCAACTCATTTTACGATGAGGAAACTGAGAAAAGCAGGGTTAAGTGACTTGCCCAGGGTCACACAGCTAGTAAGTGTCTGAGGCCAGATTTGAACTCAGGAAGATTAGTCTTCCTGACTCTGGGCGAGGCGCATTTGCTGTACTACCTAGCTTCTCCCTCTATCAATGTTAACAGTATGTGGTTTTAGAATTTTCTGGGAGCATTGAGATATTAAATATTTGCCCTCCGACACTTGGGTATTGGACTCTCAGATTTGGATTCTAGTAGCCCTGACACTGAGGCCAGCTCTCTATTCATTCATCCTACTCTGTCTTTCTATAATTACTACAGGTTTTACTACTCTCGTTTTACAGATGAAGAAATTGCCCATAGGCATACGCCTAATGAGTATCCAAAGTGGGAGTTGAGGGCTAAGAGGAGTGGCAGAAAGAAATAAGTTAGGGGAATGTTGAGTTTGTGGAGGAGATGGAAATCATATAGATTTACTGTATCATTAAGAATGACAATACTTGGGGGCAGCTAGATGGCGCAGTGGATAGAGCTCTGGCCTTGGAGTCAGGAAGACCTGAGTTCAAATCCGGCCTCAGACACTTGACACTCACTAGCTGTGTGACCCTGGGCAAGTCACTTAACCCCGATTACCTCACCAAAAATAATAATAATTATAATGACAATACTAAAAAACCAAACCAATTCATCCTTTCCAGCACACAAGTGAAGAAGGCCTTTCTCAGCCCTGAGGCCTACAAAAGCAGAAAAGAATACTGCTCTAGTTTTAAATTCATCTGGCAAGGGTATGATTAGAGTCAAGACAAATTATGAGGGACAAGCCAAGAAGTTGCTAGAACTAATGGAAAACTTGAGAAATTCAGAGAAATCAAGTTTAGAAATGGTCCCAGAAACAAACAGGATGATTTTTCTTACCACCTTGTTAAACGTAATCATCACATTTTAGAATCAAACTGCAAATAAAGTTTTATAGTTTCATGCAAATCATTTAAACACTTTCTTTTTTTCCTCATTTGTCTTACCACATTTTTTATACAAACTTGACACATTTTTTAAAATGAACTGTGAATAAAGCAAAGTCAAGTCAAAAAGTATTTATTGTGTTTCCCATGTTCCAGGCACTGAGGGTGCAAATACAAGCTAAAAAACAATCCTTGCCCTCAAGAAGCTTACATTCTAATGAGGGAAGGCAACACATAAAAATGAACAGTTTTTATAACTCTGTTCCTTTTTTCTCATTTGTGTTTGTTGATTATAATTTTTTAAAATTAAAAAAATTAATTTTAATTTAAAAATCTTTTTAATTAAAAAAATCAAATAAGCTTTCTTCTTTCCTCATTTGTGTTTGTTGATTATAATTTTTAAAAATCAAATAAGCCTTTAAAAATTATGATTATAATAGTAGACATTTATATAGGTTTACAAAACGCTTTATGTATCTCATTTCTTTCGATCCACACAACGACCTAGTGAGATTCTGAGAGCGTTATCATCTATAGGTACAACCACTATTGTCATCACTATTTTATAGATATAGAAACTGAGGGCGGAAGAATTTAAACAATTTGCTATGGTCACGCAGTTGATGTTACAGATAAGATACGAACCCTGGTCTTTTTGACTCCCAACTCTATTACTGTATAGCACCTCTGCCACTTTGTCTAATTGGACAGGCCTAATGAATGTCAAACTATGACATAATATGACATCCGTTCACTGTCTCATACTAGCTGTTGCAAGGAGGCATATATGTGACCCTAATTCTTTTTTGTCTCTTGTTGCCAACAGAGAATAGAAGGCTCCCTTGATGCAACTTAGAAAACCAATTACAGATGTGGATCCCTGATGTTCCAAGAAGATGAACAGATATTTTCCATGTATCCCAAGAGCACTGTAGTACTTACTCATGAATCTGATGGTCTCCTCTTGCAAACAGTGATTTTCTCAGGCCAACTTGTCATTTCTCAAACCCATCCCTCTGTGTGTGTGTGTGTGTGTGTGTGTGTGTGTGTGTGTGTGTGTGTTGTTAATGTGTTACAAAGATTCTAGAGAAAGAAAAGTGCTGCTATAAATTCTGGGTCCCATTCCATTTCACACTTTAGCCCTCTCCAGAGGAGTTGGGTCTTATTGTCACTGCTTCCCAGATCTTGGGAAAAACAGAACAGAAATAGAAGGTTCATTGTTCACGGTCCATTGGGGGTCTTTTGAAACTTGAATATTTTGTCCTGTACAGAGATAGAGACCTTTACAAAGTGTCTACATAAAAAAACCATTTCTAATTTTATGGTAAACTGCCTGTTCTAAGATAAAGGTCCTAAAGCTTTGGGGCTTATTTTTCACATGTTCCTTCTCATCCTTCAAAGGGTCCATTGTTTTGTGCAAACTTTGTCTCTCCTGAAATACACAATGCAGATCAGAGCAGAGAAAGGTGACTCCTTCTGATATGCTCAGACTGGGAACAAAAAAAGTCAAGCTATTGTCAATGGAGAGCTACTTTTTGGGAATGTGATAGTGTGGAGACAAGGCTCTTATGGAACAGGGCAAACATATAGCATTTAAAAAGTAAACTGAATGAAGCTCAGACACTCTTAAGCATGTTTCTTTACTCCTTTTCTCTCTTTTCTTTCCCCCTTCAATTTCAATGAAGGCTGGAAGACAGAAGCTATGATAGAGGGAGCCTCCAGCAAATATTTTTCTTTTAGCAAGTTTAAATTTCTTACTAATTCTTTTTCTTTAATTTATTCCTTGCTACAGAAATTCTTGCTTACATCACCAAATTATTTCATATTGTGTTTAAGACGGGCAGGTGCCCTTCTACTACTTTGGCTCTGGAGTTCCATCTGGAGTTCCATCCATACCTAACTAGAGCTGTTTCCCTCTCCTGGGTGGCTATAGGCCTGGTTGAGGGGAGAGGGGGGAGGAATGAAGAGTGTTTTAATAAATAAACTTGAACTTTCCTTCAGATTTGTGGAACAGTATCTTTATTACACAGGGCAGACAGACATGGGTGGGTTGCAATCTGTATCACTGGTGGGAGATAAGATCATAGGTCCAACTGCTCTTTCAGCAAACTTTAGGTGGATCTCTCTGGGCCCCTAAAGACCCCAGGCCTCCAGCAGCTTCTACATGGCCAAAGAGACTTCATCATGCAGCTGAAACAGACTCTTGGGAAAGGCCTATGTCATCTCTTGTTGAAACTACTCCTACTGTGGGTTCAGGCTTAAACAAGGAGTCATTTAATCTTAGCCCATTAGAGTTGACCACGCTTAATAATGGTGATGCTACTGCTAATAATAATAGCTAGCACTCATATAACACATGCTATGGGCCAAGTGCTTCGTAAATATTTTCTACCTGGAAAGACTTACGTGAATTGATGAAGTGAACAGAACTAGAAGAACATTAACAGTAACAGCAGTATTGTTCAATGAAGAACTGTGAATGACTTAGCTATTCTCAGCAATTCAATGATCCCAGACAATCCCAAAGGACTAATGATGAAACATACTATCTGCCTCCAGGGAAAGAACTGATGTTGTTTGAATACAGACTGAAGCATGCTATTTTTCACTTTCTTTCATTCTTTTTCTTTTATTTGGGTCTTCTTGTGCAAAATGACTAATGTGGAAATGTTTTACATGATTGCACATGTAAAAAAACATATTTCTATATCAGCCGTGTTGCAAAAGAATGCATACACACACACATATATGCAAGAAAAATAAAGCAAGTGGAAAAAAAAGGGCAAGGATAAATAAATGAATGAAAGAATAAAAAAAATAAATGACAAGTAAATGAATGAATAAATAAATACATAAATATTCTCTCAACCGACCCTTACAACAGCCCTGGGAGGCAGGTACTATTATTATCCCACTTTACAGATGAGGAAACCGAGTCAAACAACGATTAAGTGACTTGCTCAAGGTCACACAGATTGTACGTATTGGAGGTTGGATTTAAATTCAGGATTTCCTGACTCCAGGCCTAGTACTCTACATACTATACCACCTGTCTGTCTAGATCCAGAGTATGGTTTCTTTACATGGGGTCCATGAACTTGTTTTATACCATATTTGGTAATCAATATGATTGATTTCCTTTTGAATCCTGTGTATTTTATGAATTTAAAAACATTATTCTGAGAAGGGGGCTATATTATTGTTGTTCAGTTACTTCTGACTCTTCCTGACTCTGTTTGGGGTTTTCTTGGCAAAGATTCTGGAGCGGTTTTCCATTTCCTTCCCCAGCTCCTTTTACAAATGAGGAAACTGAGGCAAACAGGACTAACTGATTTGCCCAGAGGCACATAGCTAGTAAATGTCTGAGGCCAGATTTAAACTCAGGAAGATGAGTCTTCCTGACTCTGCTCCAGACACTCTATCCATTGTGCTTCCTAGCTGCCACATGAGATTAGGCTTCACCAAATCGCCAAAGGGGCTCAGGACAAAGAGAACAGCTGCCTTCCCATTAACTCCTCCCAACTCTCTTGCTCACACAAAGGATTATGTGATGTTAGAAATCTCACAGGCGCTGCTATTATCAAGCATACCCACTTTTGTCAGACATTTATTAGTGGAGGCTAGTTGAGGAAATTGCTGAAAACCATATTGGGCCTTTAGTCTCTATCAGCCACTGGAACTTTTTGGTAGTTAAGAGGACAGATTCTCCTCTGTCTTGTCATTTGCTGTTCAGTTAAATTCAATATGCATTAATTAATCAAGCGATACTATTTAAGTGCCTACATGGTAGACACTGTGATGGACATTGAGGATACAACTACTGCCATGTATAAAAAATTCCAGAGACATAGCTTCTGGGTAATGAATCATTTTATTAATCATGCTAACAAAAGGGGTCAGTGGTCAAATGCCAAAGACCCGTTACAGAACCCACTCAGTGCTTATATGCCTTTGAAAGAGTGGGTGTTCCCGAAGGTAGCAATGGACTCTGATTGGTTAACAATTAATGAGAAGAATGAATATTACAATGAGAGATGGGTTTAGTCTAATGAAGGGCTGGGGAGACATGACTGTGATCACTCAGTCTTAGGCAAAGAAACTTCTCTCTTATCCAGACTAGAAAGCCTATGGCAATCTAGACAGAAAGGGATCCACCTCTACCCAAGTCTGCCTGGGTGGAACACAATAGGCCGGAATTCACCTTAGATTAAATTCTTTGTAAGGTTTTCTAGTTGGGTGGGGTCTGTCACCCAGCATTAAAAGTATCACCCCACCCCACCCCAATTTGGGCAATCTCTTCCATCAACAATGTCCTTCAGAAACTGAACAACCTACAGGCTTCTGAAAAAATCCTGGTCCTAATTCAATAATTGATTATTAATATGAGAGAAATAATTATTTCTCTCAATACAAAGATTGAAAGTATCACCCCCCCCACCCCAATTTGGGCAATCTCATCCATCAACAATGTCCTTCAGAAATGAACAACCTACAGGCTTCTGAAAAAATCCTGGTCCTAATTCAATAATGATTATTAATATGAGAGAAATAATCATTTCTCTCAATACAAAGAATGAAACAATCTGTACTCACAAGGAGCTCACATGTTCATGTTAGAACAATGAGTTCACAAATAATTTAATCAGCCAGTCAGTAAGCATTTATTAAGTAGTGCTACTGTAGGACATTATGCTAATCTTTGGAGGTACGAATAAAAGTCAAAAAAATTAGTCCTTGTCCTTTAGGAATTCACATTCTAATGAGGAAAACAAGTAAAACAGATGGGGGAATAGACAATAGGAGTCCCATCCTTTGAGCTTGCCCAGTGTTTTTCTCTGCTACAATCCCTGTGTGTCTGTGTGAACCAGCTTCCAGGCACGCATAATGGAGAGCCTGGCTCTCTGCTTCAGAGCATACACAGGCATAATATGACCATTTCCCCTCTGCAAATTGTGTACTGAAGAGAAGACTTTTCCTGCTAAGCTGAAATTGGATGTGCATACAAAAGGCACTAACTGGTCAAATTGACCTCTTTCATGCCTGCTTTCCTGGAGTGAAGAGGATGAAATAACTGCTGCGGGTCTGAAACCCCTTCTACCTCCCCACTAACTTTCCCCATCTCTGTCCTAGCAAAATTCATCCACTCCCAGGAAAACAGTGAAGGAAACAGTAGATAAGAAGATATTGAAGATTAAAGAGAGAATGGGGATGATAAAGGGGGGGCAGTCTGCTGGAGAAGAGGGGGAGAATGTTATTAAAGGTGTATATAAAGAGGTTCACCTTGGCAAAGACAATGGCCACTTCTTCATCAGAGACAGAAGTGGAAAAGTAGCTAGCTGTGGAAGAGGTCTAAGCAATGTGATATGAGAATGAGGAAGGAAGAGGGAACTTTTGGGAAATGACCTCAATTTGGGGCGGGGTGGGCAGAGGAGAAGTATGAAGCAAGATCCTCATGATGAGGTAGAAAAAAGTGCTTGAGGCAGATGGAGCAAGCAGGACTGGAGATAGGAAGTAAGAAGCAGGATTGTGACCAGCCAGAAAAGTGATTAAAGAAGACTATGCATTGAAGCCCCCACCGTGGACTTATCTGTGTGCTTTCACAAAGCGCCCTCAATTACAGAACAACTCTTCACCTCCCCTTTCCTGTTCTCTTTATTTATCACCTCCGGACTACCTGATGTCCCAGGCATTTTGGAGCCATGCTTGCTCCTCCCATTCTCTTGTCCCCTTCCTTCTATTTCATAAAATTGTATTTAAATCATACCTTTGACCTGGCAAACCACTTTTGCCTCCTACAGGAAGCAGGGACTGCTCTGCTCTCTTAGGGGAGCAGGGCCTGCAATCTATGTTCTGCCTCCCATGTGGAATAGAGCCCACAGGGCTCTGCTTCATGGGGAGCAGGCCTTCTTGGGTGCATCACCACGATAAATGCCTTTCTTTAACTTGGAGACTGCCCAAGTGAATTCTTTCAGGACATGAGGACCCACAGGTCTATTCCTTATCGTTTCAGGGAGCATGCAACATTCTTGGGGTCCACCCTGAACTCATAGCCAATAGCCACAGAAAAGGTCCAAGTGAATTCTTTCACACCCAAACTGCTCTCCCAAACCTGACCTCAACGCTAAGATGAGAAGGTGGGGGGACAAGGTGCTGTGGGGGGTTTGAGGAGAGATGAGAAGGCTTGTAATAGTTGCTATGGAGAGTGAGATAAGGTCTGCATTGGTACAGAGAATGATTCCACACACTACCCCCTGCATGAGAGGTAAATTTAGAGCAGGAATTAAAGGAGACATTTTTCTTCATTCCTGCTTCTAGAGAGGAATCACAGCACAAGAGGAAAGGAAGGGGGGAGAGAGAGAGAGAGAGAGTGAGAGAAAGAGAGGGGGGGAGGGAGGGAGGAAGGAAGGAAGGAAAGAGAGAAACAAACAAACAAAGAAAGAAAGGGAAGGAAGGAGAGAGGAAGAGAGAGAAGGAAGGGAAGGAAGAAAGGGCTATAAATGAGTGGTGATTATTCCATTTGTTAATGAAATTTTTGTTTCACTTAATTCCTGACAAGGAAGAGCTTTTACATATAATAGAGGAGGTCCTCATTATCTGAGCATTTATAACACCAGACCCTGCCAGTACCAGGTTAAATTGTGTTTTGTTCTGGCCCTTGATTGCCTTGGTGTAGAGATTTCCCACTGAGGAAACTCTACTAATGCAAACTGTACCAGCTGTTATACTTATAGATTTGCCCAAGGCACTGAAAGATTAAATGTCTTGAAATGCAACAACTGGCACAGAACTTCTGCTAGTACCAGAGGATCAGGAGCATTCACCCTCTTTTTGTCAAGGGGTTTCTATCTTTAGAGCTCCACACAGGTAGGATTCAGGCCAGAGAAGAACCCGCCCTCTTAAGAAGTTCAAGCTAGAACTGTCTGGCTCATTACAGCTCTTCAAATCTCTTGGGAAAATTGTGCAACCTTGAGATTTAAATCATGTCTGGGGGGGAATTGTT